TGTCTCTTTGAATATTTTTTTTTCATAGCAACCAAAATTCAATAAACTATTTAAAACATCTGTCAGCTGATAAATCTGTCAGCTCACTATAGGAGCCCCCTACGAAGACTGGAAGTCCATGGAGTTTTTGGAGGGTTCCGAAAAGTCACAAAAAAAATAACAAATAACAAAAAAAATAACACAGGACAAAGGTAATTTCCATCAAACTGAAATTGGATTCTTGAATGTCACTTTTCTTCCAGACTTTGTCGTATACGACTTTTGAAAATCCAAATCGTTTGAAGTCTGAGATACAGTTGAGGGCTTAACTTCATCATTCTGAAGGACATAGGCCGGTTTAACTCTGTCAAGACTAACTTTAACATTAGAACCATTCACTTTTATTGTGATAGTTTTACTGTCTTTCTTGATCACTGGATGAGGTCCGGTGTATGGATGTTGTAAAGATTTTCTCGTAGCATCTACTCTCAGAAAAACGTGCGAACATGTGTCCAAATCACGAAAAATGAAGCTTCGGTTAATGCCGTGTCTCTTGATATTTGTTGGTTTCATTGATGAAATCTTGAGTCGTAATCGAGACACAAAATTAGTCGGATCCTCTAAGGGTGCTAGCTGGGTTGTTGGCATAAAATACTCGCCAGGGAGGCGTAAAACCTCTCCAAAAACCATTTCAGCAGACGAGGTGTTCAGATCCACACGGAAAGCATTTCTTATTCCAAGAAGCACTGTGGGTAAGGATTCGACCCACGTGGAGGCAGAGTGGCACATGATGGCCGCCTTGAGTTGTCTGTGGAAACGTTCCACCATGCCATTTGCGCACGGGTGGTAACTTGTTGTCCTTAATCTTGAAAATCCACACAATTTTCCCAACTCAGCGAAGAGTGCAGATTCAAATTGTTTACCCTGGTCTGTTGTTATTCGCAAGGGAACACCGTACCTTGATATCCAACAATTGAAAAGAGCTGACGAGACTTCTTCGGCAGAGATACCTTGCAAGGGGTGTGCTTCCGGCCATCTGGTGAACCTATCTACTACTGTAAGACAGTAACGAAGATTTCCAACTTGGGGTAATGGGCCGATGATATCCACATGAATATGTTCAAATCTACAATTTGGCAAAGGGAAATCGTTGATAGGTGTTTGAACATGACGAGTAATTTTTGAACATTGACACTCTCGACAGGACAAGGTCCACTCTTTACAATCACGATTTATTGAAGGCCAAACATATCTTGAAGTTAACATTTTATTCATGGATTTTATCCCAGGGTGACTTAAGTTATGGATTGAATTAAACGCTTCTCTGCGTAAACATTTGGGGATATACAATCGTTCTCTACCGTTCTTGGTATCGCAGTAGACGAAAACATCAGAGCCAGGAACTGGAACTGGTTGAAGACAAAGTGAAGTACTGTTTTCGAGAATAGACTTAAGTTCCTCATCATTAGATTGAGAATCTGCCAAGAGATGCAGATCGATTTTACTAGTCTTGTTGGCAGAAATAGATTCTATCCTAGAAAAACTGTCTGCTACTATGTTTGAAGCACCAGAAACATGTTGAATGTCAGTCGTGAACTGTGAAATAAATGAGAGATGGTTAGTTTGAACAGGAGGTAGTTTGCCCTTCTTTTGTTGAAAAACGAAAGTGATGGGCTTGTGATCAGTATAGACAGTACAGGAGTTAGCTTCTAATATATGTCTGAAATGTTTAACAGACGAATAGATGGCAAACAATTCCCTATAATAAGCGGGCCAACTGGCTTGCTTAGGTGTTAGTTTTTGGGAAATGAAGGACAGAGGTTCCCATATTCCATCTTGATTCAATTGTTGTAGTACTGATCCTACTGCAGTATTCGATGCATCACAAAAAAGTGCTAATTTACCATTAGCGTTGGGATGACAAAGTAATGTAGCTTCGGCTAAATGATCCTTACATTTACTGAATTTTTCAGTCAATACATCAGTCCAAGGGACTTTCTGATTCCCTTTTAATGACGAAAGGACAGTGTGGAGAGGGGCTTGAAATTCTGCAGCGTGAGGAATAAACCTGCGGTAAAAGTTCAACATTCCCAAAAATCGCCTAAGACCTTTGGCAGTTTGTGGCAAACGATAATTCTGAAGGGCGTCAATGCGATCAGGCACAGGCCTGGTTCCGTCAGCGGTGACTTGATATCCCAAAAAAACTACCGAGTCAGTGTTAAATACAGATTTCTTCACATTTATAAGGACGCCATATTTGACTAACCTCTTGAACAGAATACGGAGGTGTTCTTCGTGCCCGACAGGATCTTTTGAGAAAACAAGGATATCGTCAATGTAGGGGAAACAAAAACTTAGTCCCTCTACGACTTCATCAATAAACCTTTGAAAAGTTTGACCAGCATTCCTCAAACCGAACGACATGAACGGGAACTCAAAGAGACCGAATGGGGTTGTTATTGCAGTCTTGGGCACGTCTTCTTTATTAACCGGGATTTGGGTATATGCCTTTACAAGATCTATCACAGTGAAAACTTTACTACCGTGTAAACAATTTGAGAAATCATGGATATGTCGAACAGGGTAAGAATCTGGAATAGTGCGGGCATTCAATGCTCGGTAATCGCCACATGGTCGCCACTCATCATTCTTTTTAGGTACCATATGAAGTGGTGATGACCATGGGCTTTTGGAACGACACGCAGTTCCATTTGCTACATGGATTCAAACTCTAATTTAGCAATTTTATATTTATCTGGAGCTAACCTTCTTGGTCTTGATGAGACTGGTGGGCCAGGAGTCGTATTTATGTAATGCTCTGTGTTATGAGGAATAAATCTTGGTACTCCTAAAGGTTTTGTGATTTCTAGAAATTCCATTAACAGTGGATAGTTTGATGGGTCGGAAGTAATTAATTTAATACTACATTGCTGAGTATTCATGAACTGACATTTACTTTTTAATTGTGTAATGTTGTCAATTAAGAAACCGTTACTACAATCAGGTAATAAAGAATGGTGAGCTAGGAAGTCAGAACCAATGATTGAAGTGCTTACTTTAGCTATTATGAAATTCCAGACTAGAGTTCTTTGTAGACCAATATTTAAGTAGTGACATAAACTACCATAAGTGGGTATTTCAGAGTTATTTGCAGCTCTGAGTTCTATCCCAGATGGTTTTAAGGGTCTTTTGACTAAATTTAGTGGTATACAACTCACGTCTGAACCTGTGTCTATCAGATACTTATAGCCAGAATTGTTATCAATTACTTGTAACCTGTTGCTGTGGTTGCTGTCAACTCCGGGTGATTCATGAGTTTGGCGTCTAGGCACATGACAACTAGTCGACACCGCATCTAGTTGCCTAGTTCGTTTTTTGTAGAAGGGTAAGAGCAAGGAGTCACGCATTTGGTGGCACGTGATCCATAACGGTTATGATACCAGCAGTAGATGTCATTGTGGGGTGAGTTACTATGCTGTTTACTGGACTGGCTTTGACTTTGTGATCTGAACTTACTATTTTTATATGTCATCAAGTCATCTGAGAGACAGTTAACTTTCTCCTCCAGCATTGAAAGTTTCTCCAAAATTGCCTCAAAACCTCCTCCTTGATTGAGATTGTTGTGACTATGTGGGGTCTGAGAAAAGGTATTCGTTGGCTTACCTCGGTTTGACAAAATAGCGTCACAGCTTATTGCAGGTGAACTCAAAGGTTGAACCTCCTGAATCTTGTCCGCTGTAACTGCCAATGATTCGGTACTGACCCCAGCGCCTAACTGGGTTTGCAGGATGCCTTGAATATGCGCAGGAAGTCGCTGCATCCAGATGATCCTCAGCCAGTCATATTGTACGCTGCTGCCAGCTAACGATTTCAGTCTTCTGAGGAAGTGGGATGGTGTATCTGTCCCGAGTTCTTCTTCTACGAGTAACTGCTTAATCCTCTTATGTTCTGAGACTGATAATCTTCTTATCAGTTCTTCTTTCAGGCTCGTGTAAGGGTTTTCCAGATTTGGGTTTGAGAGTAAATCCTCTATTTCGGAAGCAGTCATCTCATCTAAGTGTGTCACAACGTGTGTGAAACGAAGGCTCTCATCGAAAATGTTCCATAAAGAGAAAATCGCCTCAATCTGTATGAACCAAAGTGCTGGTTTCTCACGCCAAAAATGGGGAAATTTTAATTGTGGAGATTGCATTGAAGTTGTGTTGTCAGACGGTCTTGGATTTACTGAATTGTTTCTTTCTTGAGTTTTCTGATTCATTGGATTAACCAAAAAATCTTCTGAATCACCATTTTGTCTTGAATATTCAGAGTCAACTCCAATTACATCATTAAGTTGTTTTCTGAGATCTTGGTTTTGCTCTTCCATCAGTTTTAGTCTAGCCAATACTTCTTCATTGATTTCCATTATATGTTCTTGATGTGTTCAAATCGGGGTCACCAATTTTAGTGAAAAGAACCTCATTTAAATAGGATAAATACTTTAAATAAAAATCTAGAGGTCTCCACTAAATATTATTGTTTAATTTATCATACTTTTACAAGTAATTAACAATTAATTGTTTAGAGCAAATAAAAATGAACCACTTTGGTTGAAAAGCCTAAAAGAATGTCTCTTTGTTTATTTTTTTTTTCATAGCAACCAAAATTCAATAAACTATTTAAAACATCTGTCAGCTGATAAATCTGTCAGCTCACTACACAGTAACATCCTGTTCGTTTCTCCAATCCACCTGATACATCTGACCAGCTTATCACTAGGACCTGACCTTTGGAGCAACAACAATTAGGTATGCATTGAGTAGACCTCTGTATGACAAAGTACAGTGGTAGGCCTACTGGAGCTAGGTCTTACCATAAAGACCACAGTAATTGTTACTATAGAGACATTTACTAAGATTAAATTCAAAAACTATTAATTAGATAGGCTAATAAAGAGGTTTCCAATTAATGAGTAAACAAAAGGAAGAATAATATGTAATTTTTTTTTTTGTGATATGTATTTTAGCATTAATCTTTTACAGTAGTCCTTATGCACCTAGAAGACCAGGACAATGCAGGAAAGGCCTGGGAACAAGCTGTGAAACTTGACCCGGAGGACCCTGGGATCAGAGCGAACTACGCTGCATTCTGGGTCAGGCTCGGACTACACCAGCAGGCTCTAGATCAACTCAATGTATTCAACAGACTGGCACAGCAAGTACCTAACATAGAGCCTCAGGTGAGAGATTAACTGTTACACAATGTCCCTTGGTAAGTACCTAAGTAAAAGTATAATTTCAAAAAGAAATGTTTACCAATCATTTACAGGTACGGTACAGCTCAGCCAAAACTTCTGTGCACGTGGACGGGTCACTACTATTCAAACTAAAACATACGAGTACCGGTTATTGGCAGTGCTGGGTAGGGGTGAGTGAGTAGCAAGACAAAAATGTTTTCACAAAAGTACCACCACCATCCCCCTCGCCTAGACCCAACTAGATCTGGTCGGGTGCACAGAAACTTTGGCCGAACTGTATTGTAATTGTTTTTGTAGATGTTGGTCTACACTAACTGATAAACAGATAAAACAGATATTCCTATTATCCTATACCTACTCTAATACGAGCAATGTTTGCTTGTATATATGTATGTATGTATGCTTGCTTGCTTGCACCAAGATCTCGAAAACGGCTCCGACGATTTTCTTCAAATGTTGTAAAAAGTTTATTCCTGGCCTAAAAACGAGTTTACTGCGGTTAGAACTGTCAACAAAAATCTAATTACGTAGAAAAATGAAACTTAAAATCACATTTTTTTAACATTAGTCTTATGGGTTGCTAAGTAACCATGTTGGTTGAACTAAATAACAAGGAAAAAGTAAACAAAGGACTTGTAAGTTGTCTGTCCACAGTATACTAGCAAATTAAAAATACAGTACAAAAGGAAAAAGATCAGTTGTTACTATTGAGCAAAGATTATACTGAAGATTACTCAATACATTGTAGTCAAGGTTGGAAGTGTGGAGAGTATGGGATCTGTTTATGACGATTAGATTACGGTGTCTGCAATCCTTAAATGCTATGGGAAATGAAGGAAACAGGTCCGCGACGTAGGATGTGATGAAGGAAGTAGTAAAGGCGAGCAGTCCGGAGTGTGGGAACTGTTTATGACGATTAGATTAAGACATATGCAATCATAAAATGCTTTTGGAAGGGAGGGAAACAGGTCCGCGATATAGGAAGTGCAGAGGGAAGTATGGGAGGAACTGCTTATGACGATTAGATTAAGGTATCTGCAATACAAAAATGTTATGGGAAGGGAGGGAAAATGGTCCGCGACGTAGGAAGTGGTGAAGGAAGTAGTAAAGTCTGGAGTGTAGGAACTGTTTATGACGATTAGATTAAGGTATCTGCAATCTTAAAATTCAATGGGAAGGGAGGGAAACATGACCGCGACGTAGGAAGTGATGAAGGAAGTAGTAAAGGTGAGTAGTCTGGAGTGTGGGAACTGTTTATGACGTTTAGATTAAGATACATATATATAGATATATATATATATATATAGATTTATATATATATGTGTCCGTGAACACGATAACTTGAGTAATTTTTATCCGATTTTGATGAAATTTGGTTTGAAGGTGTAAGGCGGGATAAACTTGAATGAGTTCGCGATCCAGCATGATCGGACCATGGGAACAGGGTTTTATGGGGGGTTTTATGGGGTAAAAATTGGTTTTTCTCACTTTTGACCCTCAAAACACAAAATTTCCCAATTTTTCTCTAAACCCTCTTAAAGAGCTTAAAAAAACAAACAATTCAGTAAATCAAACAGGGTGAGTTTCTACTGACCGTGTTAACTTTGCCAGTGGGTTCTACTCACTAAAAGGAACAAAAAAGTTCCTATAAACCCATGTCCGATTTTCGACCGTTTGGCTGTTTTGGGGGATTTTGTGTTTTCTTATTTTATTAGACTTTGCTCCACAATTTATGTAATAAAAACTTAACCAATTACTTTAGAGGGTTATAGTTAAAATCATTGGAAAGAACATTAAATTTGCTATAAATCAAAGGTTTCATTCAACAATTATACCATTACATAGTCCACGTTATAACCAAAATAAAGTAAAAATGTCATTAAATTAATTAATTACGATAATTTTCATGGGCCTCCTTTGATACATAAACCTGCATTTATGCAATGTTGAAATGCATAAAAAACTTGGCATTTTAATAATCTTTCAAATGATATGCTATTCAATACTATTATTGATATAAACCAGTGAGAAATTACTAATAAACTACAATAAAACACGGTTTACAGATTTTGTTTTTGCACAGTTTTACTGTTAATAATAATTACTGTATACTCCATGATGTATTTTATTGAACTATCTGATAAAATTTGTAAATTATTTTAACTTTTAAATATTTATTAAAATTATCTGAATTAATAAAATGTATAAACTCAAGGTTTTTCACATTTTCAAAGATGTAGTGTGTTTGATTCTTAAATGCTGTGTAATTACAGTAGTTTTACCTTGTGCTTGATTAAGTCAGCTTTTATTGATTTGTCATCTATAGCTAGATAACTCAGCTGCTTGAACATACCTTGTTGAGTAATTTGCTGTTTTAACTTTATATTTCCAAGTCAATTAAGAGTTTTTCAACATTTATTAAAATATGGAGCCTTTTACCAATCAAGATTATGCCAACATGATGAATACAGTAATTATTATTAACAGTAAAACTGTGCAAAAACAAAATCTGTAAACCGTGTTTTATTGTAGTTTATTAGTAATTTCTCACTGGTTTATATCAATAATAGTATTGAATAGCATATCATTTGAAAGATTATTAAAATGCCAAGTTTTTTATGCATATCAACATTGCATAAATGCAGGTTTATGTATCAAAGGAGGCTCATGAAATATATCGTAATTAATTAATTTAATGACATTTTTACTTTATTTTGGATATAACGTGGACTATGTAATGGTATAATTGTTGAATGAAACCTTTGATTTATAGTAAATTTAATGTTCTTTCCAATGATTTTAACTACAACTCTCTAAAATAATTGATTAAGTTTTTATTACATAAATTGTGGAGCAAAGTCTAATAAAATAAGAAAAACACAAAATCCCCTATTACAGCCAATAAAAGTTCAAAAATCGGACATGAGTTTATAGGAACTTTTTTGTTCCTTTTAGTGAGTAGAACCCACTGGCGAAGTTAACACGGTCAGTAGAAACTCACCCTGTATATGCAATCATAAAATGCTTCTGGAAGGGAGGGAAACAGGTCCGCGATTTAGGAAGTGCAGAAGGAAGTAGTAAGGGCGTGCGGTCCAGAGTGTGGGAGGAACTGCTTATGACGATTAGATTAAGGTATCTGCAATACAAAAATGTTATGGAAAGGGAGGGAAAATGGTCCGCGACGTAGGAAGTGGTGAAGGAAGTAGTAAAGGCGAGCATTCTGGAGTGTAGGAACTGTTTATGACGATTAGATTAAGGTATCTGCAATCTTAAAATTCAATGGGAAGGGAGGGAAACATGACCGCGACGTAGGAAGTGATGAAGGAAGGGAGTGTGGGAACTGTTTATGACGTTTAGATTAAGGTATATGCAATCATAAAATGCTTTTGGAAGGGAGGGAAACAGGTCCGCGATTTAGGAAGTGCAGAAGGAAGTGGTAAGGGCGTTCCAGAGTGTGGGAACTGTTTATGACGATTAGATTAAGGTATCTGCAATACAAAAATGTTATGGGAAGGGAGAGAAAATGGTCCGCGACGTAGGAAGTGGTGAAGGAAGTAGTAAAGGCGAGCAGTCTGGAGTGTAGGAACTGTTTATGACGATTAGATTAAGGTATCTGCAATCCTAAAATTCAATGGGAAGGGAGGGAAACAGGTCTGCGACGTAGGAAGTGATGAAGGAAGTAGTAAAGGTGAGTAGTCTGGAGTGTGGGAACTGTTTATGACGATTAGATTAAGATATATGGAATCGTAAAATGCTATAGGAAGGGAGGGAAACGGGTCCGCGACGTAGGAAGTGGTAAAGGAAGTAATAAAGGCGAGCACTCCGGAGTGTGGGAACTGTTTATGACAGTTAGATTATGGTATCTGCAATCTAAAAATGTTATGGGAAGGGATGGAAACAGGTCCGTGACGTAGGAAGTGGTGAAGGAAGTAGAAAAGGTGAGCAGTCTGGAGTGTGGGAACTGTTTATGACGATTAGATTAAGGTATCTGCAATCCAAAAATGTTATGTGAAGGGAGGGAAACAGGTCTGCGACGTAGGAAGTAGTGAAGGAAGTAGTAAAGGTGAGCAGTCTGGATTGTGGGAACTGTTTATGACAATTAGATTAAGGTATCTGCAATCTAAAATGTTATGGGAAGGGATGGAAACAGGTCCGTGACGTAGAAAGTGGTGAAGGAAGTAGAAAAGGTGAGCAGTCTGGAGTGTGGGAACTGTTTATGACGATTAGATTAAGGTATCTGCAATCCAAAAATGTTATGTGAAAGGAGGGAAACAGGTCTGCGACGTAGGAAGTAGTGAAGGAAGTAGTAAAGGTGAGCAGTCTGGATTGTGGGAACTGTTTATGACAATTAGATTAAGGTATCTGCAATCCAAAAATGTTATGTGAAGGGAGGGAAACAGGTCTGCAACGTAGGAAGTAGTGAAGGAAGTAGTAAAGGTGAGCAGTCTGGATTGTGGGAACTGTTTATGACAATTAGATTAAGGTATCTGCATTCCAAAAATGTTATGGGAAGGGAGGGAAACAGGTCTGCGACGTAGGAAGTGGTGAAGGAAGTAGAAAAGGTGAGCAGTCTTGAGTGTGGGAACTGTTAATAACAATTAGATTAAGGTATCTGCAATCCAAAAGTAATATGGGAAGGGAGGGAAACAGGTCCGCGACGTAAGAAGTAGTGAAGGAAGTAGTAAAGGCGAGCACTCCGGAGTGTGGGAACTGTTTATGACAATTAGATTAAGGTATCTGCAATCTAAAATGTTATGGGAAGGGATGGAAACAGGTCCGTGACGTAGGAAGTGGTGAAGGAAGTAGTAAAGGCTAGCAGTGCGGAGTGTGGGGAATGGATTCATGTATCTGCAATACAAAGGCTCCTTTCAGAGAAAACTAATGATTTTCCCCGAGCAAAGCTCGGTCCCCATGTACTTATTCTTATATGAGCAATGTTTACTTGTATGAATGATTGCACAAAGATCTCGTAAACGGCTTCG